AACTTCATCTCGCTTGTCACTCCCTATCCGTAGTTGCGCTTTGACATGGTCGATCGTGTCTAATGCAGTAGCTTCTCGTCCGATTATTCGCAACAGTGGACCTGATTGATAATTAAATGACGCGAGGGCGGCCTGTTCATATATTACAACCAAATACCTCAATATATGTTTGACACTTTCATCACCCCGCGAGCTAGGGTGGATGCCAAACTCGTGTGTTGAAGGACAAGATAAGGTGCCGGTCTACCCGTGACCTGAGATATTGTCGTGCTGCAGTGTTGAATTCGCTCAGTGCGACGAGGTATAGATGGCTTTTGCTAGATTCCAAGGCGCGTCCTCAGTCATGTCCGTGGCGTAACTTTCTCCGCTATAAGTTTGCACCATTCTGTCGGATACCTGTCAGCGCAAGCTTTAATTGCTGCTGCGGTAGCTTTTACCTGTTCGGAGACCCCTCGAAAACCTTAAAAGCGTATGGACAGTATTGATTTGGTCAGTGATGTCCGTCAGATCCCCATAGCCTATAATGTCCGAGTACCGTTGCGATAGTCCGAGCCGGTGTGATGGTTTTTATTTCTCGTCTGTGCCTTGTCCTGGGACTACTTCGAGGAGGAATTCATGAATACTGAGTCTGCTTAACATAAAAGCCCTCAACGAGGACAATACTGCTGCTGACGACTGGCAGTTTTATGTTAGCACTGGTATCATGGCTCCAAGACGTGATTAGCAACGGTGAAAAATGAAGTTTGTTCCTGATGATGGGCTACACCGTCTTCAAGAAGTAAGAAGCATTACGATGACTGTCGTTCTGAAAAACCTCGTTTTGTAACTTCATCGATGCCGTCCGTTGTAAGTCCCTATCGCCGATGCTAGAATTAAGTATTTCAGCGAAGATCTTTGCCATGATCATGGTCTATTATCGGTGCACCAGACCGCGAGGTCTGATCCATAACAATCTGTCTCAGCCGTTCAATATCCGGTCTGGTCTTCCACATAGTTATCCTGTCTCCCATTCTCTAAGTACGCTTTGGCCGAATTTTAGGTAGGCCTTGCATGGTTTCGACCGTGATGAGTGCGCTGGAACGCTGGCTGGCCGACCATTGCGCTGACTTTATTATCTAAGGTTTGGTGTCATGGACGAATGAAGAGAATTTCGTCGGTTTATCTATAGCTCGACACGGTCAGTCGACATATGGAAGTGGTTCTTTATTTTCCTTGTTGAGTCTCCGCTTTAGGAGAGCATGGGTCGGGCTTTCCCGATTCACTGCTGCGAGTCGCAGTGCATGGAGTTAGGATGCGTGATATAATCCAGGCCTTATAGATCAGACATGATCACAGCTGTATTAATTAAACATTTAACAAGATCGCACTAAGTCCTTTTGAGTGTGGTCAGTGTGATAATATTTAATGAGTGTCAACGGAACTTTGGCAACCCCTGAGCTGGAAAGAAGTGGGATTACGGCGGTCCTCGTTGCGTCTTTACTTTTTAGCAGTACTCTTTCGATAGCAGCAATTCGTCGGAGTGCCCCCGGCCACGATAAATTCCGTGTTGATTCTTCGGCTGATATTTGGAAAAATCTTAGGCGCCTCGCTCACTAACAACTCAAAAGCGGTAAATGTTTGCGCTGATTTCGATGGCCGGCACGGTACCTTGGACACTGTTACTTTTGGGTTCATTGGCTCTAAGAGACCGATGCATGGGTTGTCGTGCGTAAACTTGGCGTTTGTTGATGACGCCTCCCACAACCTTAAAAAACACTTGAATACAGCAATCCTTTTTGGAGGTAACTTTGCCTCCCGTTCTAGTTCTTCTAATCTGCCAGCCGGAAATCTACCTCACGATAAGCAGATTGCTTTATATTTCCATTTTATTTCCTGGTGTTTTCTTTTTTTCATTTGGGTTATTTGAGGTCGCCCAATGACTGCCTATGCGTAGAATGTACTGACAATATGATTGTTAGCCGCCCTATTTAAGACGAGACTCATCTTCAGTTTTTGAAGCAAATTTCCGGAGAATATTCAGTGCAGCTGCGTCCCCAACATTCGTCCGAATTATTTGTTTTTTTTTACCTAATCGACCTCTGCCGGTCTTGTGAATGACGGACCCTGTCTTCAGTGATCACGTCGCGTTGCTGGCCAGTACCTCTGCGGCACTGTCGTGTGCCCGTTAAGTGCAGGGCTTTGTTTTACTGTGGACCCAACCCTTGCAAAGTAGGCGATCACCGCATCAGCTATGCGCGTGG